AATAGCCTTCCCATTTTCTTCTCATTTCTTGGATTGTATAAAACTTTTGTGATTTATTTAAAATAATTTTAAATGTCTTGAGAAGCAATATTAACATCTTTTCAATTTCAGATCATTTTTCTTAGATTTCTTAAAGTACCTCAATTCCATTATATCATCTAATTATATTTTTGATGAAGTTTAACTTCTGACCTCATTCTTTATTTTTCAGTGTGCAGGAAATTATTTTAAAATTTTTATTCTTTTTCACACTTTCCTCTTATAAATCCTGTCTCAACTCTGATTGCAGGTYTTGAATTCTGTCCAACTATGCTGGTGTGTTTACCAAACAAAATGAGAAAAATCTCTGCAGTATACAGAAAGACAGCAGAGAATAGAGATTAAATTTTTTTACTCTGGATCCAGTTGCCACTATTAACACACTAGAAGAAGTTTCATTATCTTATTCATTCAAGTTTTTCTATTGTTTTAATTTACCTTTTCAGCATATCACAATACTGGGTTTTTATACATCTGAACGTATACTGACATCTATTCCCTGCTTATCAAATGAAACCTCAACTTTTAAAAATGATACTTATGAACTGGAACTTAAGTATTAACTTCTAAACTTGTGAATATGGGATGGTCTTTCTACCACTCTTCCCTCTGTGCTCCTGAAACTCTGCAATCTTTGATTGACATTCTCACACAGAATAGATGGCAATCCCCTGAATTAGATTGCTCTAAGGACATTTTACCACCATTCAGTGACCTCTTGTATTTAATTTAGGCCTGAGTCTGCAATGCCCTTTGACATTGTAATTAACATTTCCTTCTTGAAATATCCCTGTCAGCCTTCAGTAAACTTGTCAATAAGCTGCCGAACCCTTTCAAATTCAGCAATCTGAAAAAGATTTCAGCACATTAGAAAAGAGATGATGAAATAATGTATTTTTATTCACTTTTAGGTTAGATCTTGTATGATTACTACACAGATATTTCATCACTCTATCTAAGGCCCTGGGCCTTCACTTCAGGTGTGCCCTCTATATGGAATGTGAAGTTCTTAATGTTGCAATTGAAGGTGCTGGTCAGCCTGGTTATCATCAAGTTTCGGGAATAAGTAGTTTATATTATAATCAAGTGAATTTTGCTTTGTTTCTATAAAAAATAAACTTTGTTGAAATGTCATATATAGTAGTTAACCAAGCATTGATTTGTATGCATTTTTAGAGAAATTGGTCTCCACTTTAGTTGCCCACTCACAGCATTTGAGGTCTGCCCTTAGACATTAGTAAATAGAGTTGAACTTCTGCTTTAGTTATAGCAACATGTACTAACCAAAAATATAAAGCAAAAATACTTTTTTCATAAAAATGATATCTAGTTTTTTAAAAATACTTTTATTTGTCCATGACTGCTAATTGTATGCAGTCTAATTACAAAATCTCTATGAAACACTTGAAAACACTTATAAATAGATTTTAGTTTCTAACTATAATATTGAGAGAGTCTCCTAATACAGTTAAGAAATTCAAAAGGTGTTCAAATCTCAAATTCTGGGTTGGATTACAGATGGAATACGTTTACTCTTTGAGATGGCTAAGCAGTTTCAGCTTAGAATAACAGCCAGTTCATGAACACTCAATAAATCATGTTAAAGAAATACTGCTGGCTAAAGAATGGGATGCGTTTTTGTTATTGTTTTTCAAATATATGTGGTAAGAGGAAACATGGGACTCATTCATTTGGATTTATGATGAACATTAGACCTGTGCTTAGTGCTTAAGTAAGAGGTTTTATTCTCTGAAAAAGACAACTAGAGATGCTTCCTGTAAGAAATTCAGAGCATCTGCAATGCAATTTAATGTAGAAAAATTCAAGGAATGTAGTAAACTAAGGAGACTAAGACTTCAACAGAGTAACTGCAGATGATGATATAAGTATAAATATAACTTTACTGGATATGTTAAAGGATTTCCTAAGAAAATACAGACTCAGTTTATTGTTTAAGAAAATGCTAGGTATTGATTWAAAAAAAAAACGACAGAAAGAATGATCCCTAAATCCCTACACATAATTTTTATAACTTATTTTTTTAAGTTTTCTTAACTTTCTCCATGTCCCAACTTCTTAACTCTTTTCTCATGACTACTTGCCATTAAGAATCTGAGTTGGAGAAACTGTGCCTACTAGAAGAAAAAGTAGGCCCAAATCTCTACCATGTCGGCTTAGGAACCGACTTCCTCAATAAGACTCCTAAAGCTCAAGAAGYAAAATCAAGAGTCAACAAATGGGACAGTATCAACCAAAAAGCTTCTTCACTGCAAAGGAAACAATCAAGAATGTGAACAGAAAGCCTACCGAATGGGAGAAAATCTTTACCACCAGCACCTCAAATAGAGCATTAATGTCCAAGATATACTAAAAAAAAAAAAAAAAAAAAGCATAGAAAACAAACAACAATAAATAAATAAATAAATAAATAGGACTAAGGACTGAACAGGCACTTCACAGAAAAAGAAATATGAATGGTCCAAAAATATATGAAAAAAATATTCAACATATTTAGCAATTAGAGAAATGCAAATCAAAACTACAGAGATTCCATCTCACCCCAGTCAGAATGGCAATTATCAAAAATACAAGTAAAAAATATGTGAAGGAAAAGGTTAACATACATTGCTGGTGGGACTGCAAATTGGTGCAACCACTATGGAAAACAGTATGGAGATTCCTTAGAAAACTTGGAATGGAACCACCATATGGCCAGTTATCCCACTCCTCAGTTTATACCCAAAGGACTTAAAATTAGCATATTACGGTGACAAAGCCACTTCAATATTTATAGCAGCTCAACTCACAATAGCCAAGCCTTGGAACTGATCTAAGTGCCCTACAACAGTTGACTAGATAAAGGAAATGTGGAATATATACACAATGGAATATTACTCAGCCACAAAGAAAAATGAAATTATGGCATTTGCATGTAAATGGATGGAACTGGAGACTATCATGCTAAGTGAAATAAGCCAGTCCCCAAAACCAAAGGTAAAATGTACTCTCTGAGTTGCAGATGCTAACCCACCACAAGGGAGGGGAAGATTAGAAGTTCATTGAAATAGACAAAGGGGAATAAAGGGAAGGGAAGGGAGATGGAAATAGAAAAGACAGTAGAATGAATCGGAAATATCTTTCCTATCCTTCTATATGAATACACGACCAATGTAACTCCATATAATACACAACCACAGTAATGGGATTCTAACTGGAACAAGTTATACTTATTCAGTGTATGTATTATATGTCAAAATACATTCTACTGCCATGTATATCTAGAAAGAACAAATTTAAAAAATAATATGAGTATATATCAATGAGAAATCCTGCTTTGCTTAATCACCAGTTAAGTATTAGGCTAGGATAACCCAACATACTACAGAAATCTATATTTCTATATTGCCATCCTCCAGCTGAATGCTAATTTACAAGTAAGACTGAAATAAATCATGTGGCTAATATTTTTAGGAGCACCATATTCATCAACAACTTTCTTAGGTAACAATGACTCTAACACCTGTCACATCTAATGGAGGAATTCCAAAGCCTTGAGACAAAGAGATCAACCCAGTGTCACTCTGCTACCTGATTGATATATGTAAGAGAGTTAGTTGCAGGCTACTCAGAAAGAGAAAACCCAGGAGAGTTATAGAAAGGAAGGTTTTATGTAAGGGAGAAATCAAGAATAAAATGATCATAAGGTAATTCGAGTCAGTATAAGCCTATGCAGACACAAAGGTTTTGTCTTAGGAGGTTTCTGCTTTGATTTGTTTTAATGTGAGGTGCCTGGGGAAAGGAAAGTCTGCAGACTAGTTGCTAACGATGTGGGAATGAAGGAGTTAGAGATACCAAGTTTTATTGTTAAACTATCTTGTTCAGTTAATATTTTTTCAAATTGTTATTTTTGATATATGTAGTCATTGAAATAAACAGCTTTTCCGCCATCATTAATTTCTTATTAAGATTTTTCTCTCTCCAGTGGATTAAATGAATTTAAGATTTATCTTTCTCATACTGTTTCAGTATGAGAAAAAAACTGTTCAGTTTTTCTTTTCAGGAAAAACCTATCTATTTATATATATGTATATGTATTTATCCTCCTACCAATTACAAAGTGATTTTTCTTCTGAAAAGTGCATATTGACTATCGTCTCTAAATATTGAGTCACCTTATTAATATTTGGAAAGAAAATTTGAAACATTTTTCTGACCAAAATATATCCATTTTCTAAACCCTTTTAGATATTGCRTATTTCCTTAAAACTACAATATTTGTTCTAAATAAGAGTCCTCTTATACTCATGGTGAGTATAAGAATTATGGAATGAATTGTGAAAACTGTACTTCATTAAAAATTGTACAAAAACATACAATCTTTATCAGATAAATGCATTCTAGTCTAATAGAACACAATTGTGTCTGTAATGTTAGCTTAAGGAATTCTTCACAGATAACAGTCATAATAAAAACATTAAAGTGTGGCTGGGTCATAAAGCCCTGTGTCCCTGTGACTTATTTGCAGTTAGTTTATTAACCTGCTTTGCTTAATCACCAGTTAAGTATTAGGCTAGGATAACCCAACATACTACAGAAATCTATATTTCAGGTAGACTGTACATGTAGGAGAGAAAACAAGCCTAAAATAATCATTAAAGTGAAAACATTTATAAATATAAATTTATAATAGATTTTAAAATTAACTAAAATTTAATTTAAACAAATTTGTGTGTGTGTGTGTGTGTGTGTGTGTGTGTGTGTGTGTGTGTTTTAGGGTTCTGGGTTCATAAAATCAAACTCTCATTTTGAAAGGTGATACATTTGCATAGTAAATAAAATTAGACTTAAAGAGAAATAGAAATAGCCCAAGAAAATGAATTTTTTTCCAACTGCTTTAGGACAAAATATTTCTAAAACAATCTTTAAAGGTTTTTGAACAGGAAAGAAAAGTATGTTTTTACCTTTGCTTTTGTTTGCTGCTGTTCCTCTAGTCACCTGGGGCACAGCAGAGGTTGAGTGGCAAAGGATGCCTGGCCGGTTCAGAGAAACATGTCATTACGGGGGTGACTCAGTCCTCCAAGTTAAACTGTAGGCCTGCATTAAATCTCTTTATAACTGAAGTCAGACTCTCTTAGAAGTGTCTTGGTATAAGTGACCATTGCTTTCTGAAAATACCCAATTTAAATTCACTGGCATAAGAAGAAAAACTAAACACTGATTGAAACTTTAGTTGAATGATAGGAAAGCAAAGAAAACCATATATTCAAGATTTTCAGATTTAAGAGAAAAAAAAGAGCCAAGTGCTTTATGTATTACAATACGTATTAAGAATAGATCCTAATGTACTAGTCTTAATGGGAACAGAATATTGACTTAGTGGGGCGTTGTCATCCTGAGAAAATATAATATGAATTTACTAGAACTAATGGCTCAAGATGGTGAGCCAACCACATGTGTTTGTTTACTGAGTCGTTTTCAGCACATGTCATTAGACAAAATACAATAAAAAGCTGAAAACAAGAAGGGGGTGACRTGACTCAAACAATAAAACAGATGAAATTGGAAAAGCTAAAAAAWTTTTTAAGTTGAGGGGGRAAAAGACCATARTAGAAARTTATTTTAGAGGTATGAGATGTTCCATTAAAAGAGAAATCTTTAGATACCGATAATGAAAGTGGATGGAGAGACAATTTATTGGAGCAATCAATTAAAATATTGTTTCTAATATGGCAGAACAAGTCAGAGCATGCAACTTCCYGGGAGTACACACAATGGCAAGTAGCAAAGACATTTGACCTCAGGATATTTTAAATATCCCTTCCTATACAAAGTTCAGTTTGTATATTGGACCAAATCCAAAAGTAGAGCTAAAATAGATATAGCTGAGTCTCTCTGCTGAGCATATGAGATAAAAGTGAAAAAGGCAGTTCAACTCATAAGGGAATCATACTCCTCTCCCATTATAATTTTCTCTTTGCTTTGATAATTATGGGGGTTCCTAGCAACCTGCCTATTTTCCACTCACATGCCTCAGATGGGATCTTACTCATCAATGTGCCCAAATCCCTTTCTCAGAGGGCATCCTCCATGCCACACAAGAAATCTGATAAGAAACTATTCTCAAACACATGTGGGAAGGGAGAAATCCCCATGGTAGATTTTGTCAGTCTCTCTAGTCTTTCAATAAAATGATGATGAAAGATTTCCAGACATTTAATACTGACCAACAATGTGAAAGAAAATAAATTAACAAAAGAACAGCTATTCCAAAGAAAATGAAACAGGCTAAAATGTATAATAGCAACAATTTTTTWAAAAAAATCTAATTTGTATTTTCAAAGAAATTTAATAAGCTGTTGAATCTACAAGCCAAAACAAGTTTACTGTGAGAAAAGAGTAATTACAGTCGTCTCTGGAAAAAGAGTTTCTTATAATTAATAATGAGTATCAAAATATAGTATTCTAAAAATAAAATTAACAAATTCATAATAAAAAAAAACAAAACAGACAAAGGCAGAATAGTTGAGAGGAAAGGAACACAGAGTACTCATGTAGAAGGACCAAGTAATTTCATAAATGAACAGAAAAATTGAAGAAATAAAATCCTCTGAAAAATACTGAAAGAAAATTATCCTCAGATAAGGATGAGAATTTAAATTACAACACCAAAAAGCTTTGTAAAGAATGTCTTCAATATAAAAATCAACATGACACAAATTGTAAAAAGGACCAAAGTGTATGATTATCACATTCTGCTTGTGAGATGAAGATATACATTCCTTTTGATTAAAGCAATGACTCATGTGGACCAATTACATTTTCACAATTGGGAAAACTGGGTATCTGATCAAAAAGTTTTGTGTTTGAACAAAAGGTACTGTGATGTTTTAACAATTAATGAAAAGGTAAAAAACAATGCTGCCCTGGATACAGGCAAATTGTCTTTAGGTAATTCAGGACTGAGACAAGCCCTCTTCAGGTTTCTAACAGATTTTACTTAACATCTTAGAAAAGAYGCTTCATTTACTAAACTTATGCAAGTCAAAATAAATCACGACAAAACTGAATGTTTTTCATTATCCTGACCTATTTTTAACTTGAGCAGATTGTTTTATACACAACAAAATTTGAAGAATCCATTATTAAAAATGTGGCAGTTCCTTCCATTTTAGTTTTCTTTTGCTGCCTATTAATCTGAGTAAAATAAAATCTAATAATATTTTCTTAGAAAAAAGTTAAATGATTAYATATAGAACTGGGATATTTCCTATTTTCTTTTATGTATTTATTATTTCCCCTTTTCATTCCCTACCTCAAACCTTCTAATACCCTGATAATTGTGGCTGCACTGTAGGATAAAACAATGGACTGATGTGTATTCTACCTTTGATGTATTCACTGATGGTTGGACAGAATTGACTATGTCACATGTTCCATGTGAGTGGAAAATAGTATTTGTTTCATTTTCAAAATAGTGATAATATTTAATAATATTTGCCTTATCCTGCTTCATTGGAATATGTTTACTATCCAAACCCTTATCTAACAGTTGTCGAAGAATTGTAAGTGGAAGGATAGAAAAGCAAATTATTTTTCACTTATAATGGCTTAGTACCAACTTAAATATGTCATGCTTGAGTATAGGAATCTAATTCTTAGAATTGCAGCCTTGTTGCAATAGAATATCAACAAGATATGGGAACTTATCAAATAGTTCCAAATTTGGCTTAGTATATTTCACTGCCTCTTTTAACTTTTACTTCTCCCCACAATGAATGAAAGAATAACTAATGAGTGGACGAACTAATAAAATAGGAATTCAAATGTGATTTGCCTGACAAAATTCTGTATCAGTTTTGCAAGTGTGATATTTGGAAAATGCCAGACAGGAAAATAGCTTTCCTAACCTGAGGAGGGAAATAACATTTGGACTATTATAATCTCTTTGGAGTCTTGGTGAGAAAAAATTATTTAGATAACAATTTGATCAAATCAAGAGACCAGGTAAATTTTTCAAGTGAATTAAATTACCATCCATTGAGAATTGATAAATTGGTAATGAACAATAGACTTTAATAGACCAAGTATCAAACAAAAGAATTTTCCACATCAACTCCATTATATGGGAGTCTGATAGGCCTTATCTTCTGATATYGATGATTGCCTGAGGAATATCTAAGACACTTTAGATAAAGTTAGATCCTATAGCATTCACCCATGGAGTCCCTCACACTTATAATTGGTATCCTGGGGTCACTTCTATTACTTAAGAATTCCTAATTGCTGGAGTGCAAGCAGCTGTTTTCTTTTGATTTGCTGTTCACTATTCTAAGAAAGCGTTCCCCAGATATACTCTTGACCTGCTTCTCCAACCTTCTGAGCATCATCTTAAAGAGTCTTTTTTTGACTACCCTGTATAAATTCCCAGTGCTTTCTCATTTTCCTGATTCCTTTACCTTCCTTTATTTTCTCCACAGCACTTATTAMCACCAGGACTATGTGTGTTAGTGTATTCATTGTTTACTTATTATTATTCATTTTCTCACAATAATTTAAGCTCCCCGAAGAACAGGCATAGTCATTTCCTTATCCCTGTCACTATCATGAACCGAGAAAGCATCCAGGAAGTCCTTGCTATATCAATAAATGCAGTCAATGATTCCTTTTTATATTTTTTTTTATTTTAAATCCAATAAATATTGTAGAAGAGGTCTGAGGTTGAAGAAAGTCAGTCAACATTTTCTACTCTTTACTATTGAAAGAAAAAAGTTTGACATTGTAGTAGGGAGGAAAGAAATTTCATCAGAATCACAGATAAGTTCATGGCAAGAAAAACTGGGAAGTTAAAGTTAGTATCAGGAGCCTTGTTCTTCCAACTCAAGAAATCTGAGGAGGGAAGATGGCAAGACTCTCCACCCCAGCTATAATAGCAATGACACACAAATCTATTCTTCATGTCCATTATTGTCTGCAGTTTGCTCTTTTCAGAAATGACAAATCTGWAGCTCTTTTGTGGAACATATTTCTTTCTGCTGCTTTCAGGCATATGCAGATAAGAGGAGGATTCAGGTGTTTTTCGAACACATCTTCCATGACTGTTGCATAGACTTTGACTGCAGAGCTTGGCTGCAGATGTTACATTAACAGCATAGTGTCCCAGTGGCCCTTGAATAGATTGTTGCACAGATAAGCAGGTCTCCTATAGGAAAAAAATAGAAATCTGCTTAAAGCACTCTCAAAATGTGGTTCTATAATCCAGGTGGAATTAATGCCTGAAGTTTTGCAGTTGGTAAAGTGAAAGAAGAAGAGTATTTTCATTGATTAATCATTTAAGTAAGGATAAGCTTTATATGTTCACAGAAACGATGAGCCACACCTTTGATTGGGAAGAGTCTTGTCCAAACAAGTTTTGTATCATTTCTAGGGGGAGATGAACATGAAGATCATCTGGAGACAATTCACTGAGGTAAACGGAAGATTCGAATGAAGAATCATAAAACAGAATAAAGCTCTTAATGACAGGTAGTTAAACAAGGTAACATTTGGGAAAATAGCAGGTTCTGAAAATCATGTGAGTAATATTATTTGTTCCAAACACAATTGATGTGAGCCAGTCTCATACTTTATTTAGGAAAAAAAATGTTATTTTTAATTAGGACAAGGCTCCCTGTCTGAGCCATCTGAAGAGGTTTCTAAGAATGATGGAATAAAATAAAACAAGAAAACCATTGAACTAAAGAAGGAGGAGGAGGCGAAATAGGGAAAGAGTAAAGAAAGAAGGGGAGGGGAAAGAGAGAAAGGATTTTGGGGAGCTCTAATTAAGAGAGCATAAACCCAAGCAAGTACAATCAAATACAACTTGGGTGTCACCTGGTCTTTCTCAATCCCACACCAGGAAACACCTTGTTCACTTAACTTCCAGAATATTACATTGCCCTGTTTTTCTTAGCCAACCCACTAAAGCTKCTTCTTAGCTTTCTTTAGCAGCTTCTGCTCATCTTTTCTATGTTTTGATTGTGAAGT